CACATTTAAAGTTACATAATATAATATATGCATTAACAGTATTACAACTTGTATACTTTTCCCTATAATACATTATATACAAATACGATAAAATGTATAATAACATTTTATTACAAATAACAAATATTTATACAATATTATAAGATTGTGTTTTACAATAAATGAGAAATTTCATCTCTTTTTTCTGCACCGTTCATAAATACAACTTCGTTATTAATTAGCATTTCCATGGGATTAAGTTCTATTGGTTCATCTTCTATAGGTGCATCCTCATTTTCTATACATATGTTATGTAAGATACAACAACTAAGGATAACCAAGGGAATCATTTCTGTATTATACATATAAACGTATTTTAATTTTCGAAATCTTGCTTTTAGAATCCCAAATGTACGCTCAATGACTACACGTGTTTTTGAGTGGTTAGTGTTAAAATTTCGTTGTGTATTATTTAAATGACCATTATCTCGATAAGGTGTTAACATATATCTTGATAAAGGATATGCTGAATCACCTAACAAATGGTATTGATTTTGAAAGTATCTATTTTCATCGTTAGTTATTAATTGTCTGATATCACTTAAACGCCAAACTCTAGCATCATGAACACTACCACATATACCCGTAAATACATCTATAAATCGTAATTTATAGTCACAAATGCCTTGTAGTACTATCGAGTGGAAACCTTTACGGTTAATATAACTATCTGAATTTTCAATTGGTGCGTTTATAGCTATATGACAGCCATCAATTGCTCCAATTGTCCCAGGGAAGCCACTTAATTGACGAAATTCACGTTTAAAATGTACCATTGCATGAGGTTCAGGCCATTTAATGTACCTCTGAGCGTCTGCAGTGAGTACCATCATAACTTCAAATATAGTTTTCCAAACGGTATCTTTGGATACTCCAAATCTGTCTGCTACTGATCTGAAAGTATATATGCCAACTTTTGTTAAAAAGAAAAATAAAATAAGAAATACAAGTGATTTCGTACAATGTACCTTCACAAATTTTT